TGCAGTCGACCCGCCCAACCACCCTCCGCTCATTTGTCCCCGCTTCCATCCTCACCACCGTATACCCCGCTCGCACCAAATCCGGCAACAACGTCACCAACTCCGTCTCCGTCACCATCGGGTGGGCCGAGTGGATGAGCCCGCCCAGCCCGTCCGTATACACAAACCTCCCAATAGTACCCAACGTCTCCGGATCTATCTGGATGGAACCCTTCACCGTCTCCGTTAGGCACACGACGCGGCCGTCTCCAAGCCGTACGATCCCAGTATTGGCATTATCGGTTAGTGAAGCGCCGGAAAAGAGTTGGGCCAGCCCGCCCACGTAGGAGAAGAACCCGTCGGGCTTTGGGGCCTCGGAGAACTCGCGGTAGCAGAGGCGGTTGTTCTTCTTGGCGGCTTTGTAGGCTTCCGATTCGATTTGGCGGTGGCTGGCGACTAGCCGGCCGTGGTGGAAGTGGAGGCGGACGAGGGTGGCGTAGCCGTCGAAAAGGTGGCGGAAATAGTAGTCGGCGATGTGCCATAGGCCCGGCCCGTTCCTTAGGTATGTGCCATTCTGGATTGCATAGAAATATAATTTATTTCAAAGCCTTTTTTTTATGTTAGGTCCGTTTAGGGGCAAATTATTACGTTCGGTGTCCGAATTCGTCGGGATATCAATCTGATGTCTCCACGTCATCAAAATACACCGGTACCCAGTGTATTTGAGTGACGTGGCGTCACCGGATTGGATGTCCGGACATCCGGTGACCGGACGCAATAATTCGCCCCGTTTAGGACGGCTTCAGCTTCTTATAAGTTTTATAATTAAGATTTCATTTAAACGGTTTTTAGTATAAAAATTTAATATTTTGTACAAAAAATCAGCACTAATAAACTGTAAAAATGCTATCATAAATGAAATAATCTTTTTAAAAGTTGTTATAAAAAGCAGCTTTCTAGCACAAAAATATTGAAGGCAATGAAAAAATAGTGCCCAGATAAAAATTAGGTTTAAACTCTAAAGAGTTTAATAGTACAAAAGCTATTTCAAACGAAGCTTCAATAGTAAATTTATCTATGCAAATAAATAAAGCAAAGTATGAATACAATTAACTTAGTTTTCATTTTGATCAATTTTCTTACTATTTTCAATAGCAATTCTTTATTTTGAAAATTTATTGAAAGTAGCAAAAAATTGTTATGAATATTAAAAACTTTATATTTATAAATTATTAGTATAAATTTAAATAACTTCTAATCACAATTTTTTTTAATAACAAAAAATTACAGAAAAATAAAATAAGGTTGCTTTCTTCAAAATAAAATATAATAAAAAATGCCTCAAAACAATTATCAAAAAATCCTTATCCTAAATGGACAAACTTATTTAAATTATAAACTTAGTTGCAATCATAATAAATGAAAACATTATATTTTATCTCTTTTTTTTTTTCTTTCCGGCTCAACACATTAAAAATAATAATAATTAATAATTGAGAATTTCTATCATAGCATTATTGTTTATTTTTTAAAACTTATCTTTAATTGTTTTTTATAATATCGTTTTAATAGGAAGGCTTGACTAATAAATTTCCTCATTAGTCTTTTTATACTGCTTACTTCTAATAGTCTAAATTAGTAGAAATAAATAATTAATCATCCTTTGTTAAAAAAGGTAAAATCATAAAACACAAATTTATAAAATTAAGATTTATGAATAATTCAAAATTTTATGTTGCGAGACATTAAATTTTTGTTGAAAAAAGAACTGAATTTATTAATATTACATTGTTAAAAAAAGAAAAAAAAAACTTAATGAATGTTTGTTTAAAACTTTATACTGTAAAATCTTTCACTCAAATAACTTGTAGCTAGTGACAAAAAAGTTCTAAAAACGATTAATTAAAAATAAAACTTAACTAATTACAGCAAAATCTTCTAAAAATTCCTCAAATATCGTGATTTAATTTTCAAATAAAAAACAAAGTAAAAATAGAAATATGATTTTTTTTTTTTCGGACATTTAGGTTATTTAAGGCAAATTCATGCACACAAAGCATACACAAAGACTCTAACTCAAGACCTATTAATTGGAAGCCTAAGTAACTATTGTTTTCTCTACTGGAGAATTATAATACCAGCCAGAGAGGGATTTCTCCCTGTAGTTGGAGCTCTCCCTCCCACCTTTCCTGCCTTATGCTCGTCCAAGCTGCCAGCTTCCCTGCTTTTCGAAACTCAGTTTTCTCCACAGTTACAGCTTTGCTCAGCTTATCCGTCGCGGCACGAACCGAGCTGTGTCCTTTCTTTGGTTTAGCTCTGGACGCCATTAAAGCAGTATTACAGTTGATCAGTAAGGTGGCCATGGCTGCTTATGGCTACAGGTTTTCTTCTAGTGGTGGTGAGTGAGGATGGAGGAGATGGGGAGTGCATATTTATAGAGAGGTTTGTCTGCAATAATATATTCTTTATAAAAACACAATTTAATTTTTTTTTTGGTAATTAATTAACTTTAGGTAAGCGAATTGATTATTATTTATTTTTTCATATTATTGTCTATTATTTATTTATTCACTAGTCTATTAAACTTGAAAAAAAAAAACTGTCTAAGAATATTTTAGGATGACTATGAGAGTTATTGGATTTGCTTTGATATTAGTTCTTAATACAAAGAATTTGTATTTTAATAAATTTAAAATAAGTGCAAGGATTTTTAAATTTATCTTGATATAAATTACAATAGGATGCTTGGAGATAAATTTTATTAATGATTTTTTTTAACGAAGTATCTACCCTCTGCTAGTTCAAAGGAGGTGCATGACGGCATAACTAATCCTTCGATGGGCCTACCAATAACAAACCCCACAAATGCAGGAGCACGAGCCCTCATTGATTTATCTATGAAAAAGATCACAACTACTAACATAATTTTTCTTTTCACATATAAAAACTCTTGTAGGAATCAAACTCAACACACCTCGACATGAGAGCAAATATCTACTTTGTAGCTTACTATTTTTTAATTAAACTATTACTAAAAAATAAATAAATAAGAAAATTTTGTTCAAATTTTTGTATATATGACATAAATTTGCAATCAATAATTTTATTAAAAAAAAAGCCATGTTAGAAAAACATTAAAGTTTTATCATTAAAAATTAACAGGCACATAAAGAAATATATTATAAATTTTATTTTTTATAAAATTAAAAAATAAATATTTAAAATGGAATAAGATAATCATGCTCGGGCTGTGAGAAAACAGCACCCAAAAAAGAAAGAGAAATCTATTCTAATATAAATTATTTTTCATTTTAAAATAATATAATTAAATATATTACTAAAAAATATTAAAGCAACTTTTTATAGTGCATTAGAATCCAATAGTTACATACTATTGGACTCCAATAAGAACTAGAAGAGCTAAGGACTTTAAATTTCCTCTCGAGTATTCCATGTGAGCCTTTCTCTTTTCGTGTTTGATGGACGTTAATTTTTCAATATTTTATAAAGTTTTAATGAATGCTAAGTTCTTAATCACTTGTGATTAATCATTATAAATTTTAAAATCGAAAAAGGTTTCTGAATTAATTGTGCACTTCAAATAAAAAAATATATGCATATCACTAAATTCTTCTCTATAATATATTTCACATTTTTTTATTCTATATTTATTTATATAGTAAATTAATTCAAAATGACATAAAAAATGCTACTAACATTAATTTATTATTATTTTATATCTTATTGATGTTAAAATGTAATGTAAATAAATATAGAAAATTGAATATTGAATATAAAGAATACATTTTGGAAATTTGTATAACCAACATAAAAAAAAGTTAATGATCTTAAAAAAAATATTTATCGAAGAAATTTAACATGAAGAAGATTAGGGAAGCCAAGAATATTCACTTAAACTACATATGTAATGCAATTAATTAATTGTTGGTAAAATTCTTAATAATGATTTTCGTCCCATTAGCTTATGTACCTTTTTAAATAAGCTTGTTGCTAAAATTATTGTTGGTAGGATTGCTACTATTCTTCCTAAAATCATTTCTTTAGAGCAAACTGGTTTCGTTAAAGGTAGATCTATTTTCGATAATGTTTTACTTGCTCAAGAACTTGTTCATGATCTTAATGCTAAAATTTCGGGTGAAAATGTTATTTTAAAGATGGATATTACTAAGGCTTACGACAATTTGAATTGGGTTTTTCTTTATAAAATTTTAAATCTGTTTGGTTTTAATTTGCATTTTATAAATCTTATCAAAAATTGCATTGAAAATTATCATTTTTCTGTTATTATCAATGGCAAGTCTCACGGTTTTTTCAAGTCCTCCAATGGTATCAGACAGGGTGATCCCTTATCCCCTGCTCTGTTCATCATTGTTGTTGAATATCTATCTCGTGGCATTAATAATCTTTATCGTTTTCACCCTACTCTTTACTACAAAATGAATGGTGGTTTTCCCATTACTCATTTGAGCTTTGCTGGTGATGTTATTATTTTCTCCAATGGTTCCATGAAAATGCTGAATTTACTCTTTAAATTTCTTAATAATTTTCAACATGCTAGTGGTTTAATCTTTAATCCTAATAAGTGTTGTTTTATTCCTGCTGAGACTATCTCCGAGAATCGTATTACTAGGATTGGCAGGAATTTTGGTGTTAACAAGACCGTTTTGCCTATCAATTATCTTGGTGTGCCTCTTTATAAAGGTAAGAAACGGAATCATCTGTTTGATGGGGTTTTTAAGATTATCCATAAGAAGCTTTCTTCGTGGGCTTTCAATTTTTTGTCTTATGGAGGGAGAATTGTTCTGATTAAGCATGTTCTTAACTCTATTCCTATATATCTGATGCACACCTTGAACCCTACTAAACATATTTGTAACAACATGGAAATTATCTTTAATAAGTTTCTTTGGGGTTCTAAAGATGGTAAGCGTTCTATTATTTGGAGTTCTTGGACTAATTATGCTGGGAATAAGGACGATGGCCGTCTTGGCTTTCATACCCTTATCGATATGTCTAAGTCTTTTAATCATAAACTTCAGTTTTCTTTCAGATCTAATAAAAGTTTATGGGCAAATTTCATGATGGCCAAGTATTGTTCTGCTAAGCATCCCTTGAATTGTAGCTTTAAAACTGGGGACTCTATCAATTGGAAAAGACTCTGTAGCATCAAATGGGAAGATGAAGAGTTCATTCAATGGGGTTTGGGTGCTGGGAACATTTATTTCTGGCAAGATAAGTGGCTTGATAATTTTTCTATTGATAATCTTTTAAATACTCACACTACTTCTACTTTGAAAGTTAAGGATTTATTGAATAATGACACTTGGAATCTGAATTTACTTACTAGTATGATTCCTGATAACATTATTAACATGATTACCAAGATTACCATTTACAAAGATAATGAAGACTGTATTTTATTTAATAGATCTACTGATGGGCGGTTTAACACTAAATTTGTTTGGGAGTCGATTAGACAAATTTTGCCTAATAACAATCTTTACAAGCATATTTGGCATGCTAATGTCCCTCCTACTTACTCTTTTTTACTTTGGAGAGTTCTTCATAACTATTTACCTATTGATTCTCTTTTGATAAAAAAGTGCTTATTATTATTTCTAAATGCCAATGTTGCTATCATATAGAGAATCTTAATCATGTTTTTATCAATGGTCCAATTGCTACCAAAGTTTGGATTTATTTTGATAACATTTTTAATGTGCTTTCTTATGTTCATTATGAGTCGGTTATGGCTATGCTTACTAATTGGATCTTTCCTATCAAAGGTCACATTAGAAATATTATTCCTGTTCTTATCTGTTGGTATTTATGGGAGAGCCGAAATGCCTCCAAGCATGACAATATTGGTATGAATGCTTTGAATGTTATTGATAAAGTTAATAACAAAATTATTCAGCTTCATAGTGCGAATTTAATTAGCGTAAGCTCTTTTCAAAATTGCTTAAATGTTGTTACTGAATTTGGGTTGAATTTCATTTTTCAACCTATTATCAAAAATGAGAAATTGGTTTATTGGAGATGTCCGGTTAAGGATTACTTTAAACTCAATACTGATGGCTCTTATAATAACTCTAATGCTCGGTGTGGTGGCATTATCCGTGACCATAATGGTAGAGCTGTGATTGCTAATTATGCTGGCCCCTCTTCTGGTAATAATGCTTTTCAAGCGGAAACTGACAGCTTGCTGTATGGGATTCAACTTTGTATCTCTTTTGGCTTGAATAACATCTGGGTGGAAGTTGATGCTTTACTGTTAATTCAATATATTAGTGGCAATTTGAAGAATAACCCCAACAATTTTTACAAGATTAGAGATATTAAGCATTGTTTATCTCGTATAAATTACTCTATCTCTCATATTATGCGTGAAGGTAATGCTGTGGCTGAAGGCCTAGCTAAAATGGGGTGTGGCCTGGATGGGTTTGTGCAATTCAATAAAAACTCCCTTCCTAGGGATATTAAGGGGCTTATTAAGCTGGATCGGATGGGTTTTCCTTATATAAGAATTCATTAATGTGGATTGATTTTCCTCTTTCCTTTTCTGTCCTGTTTTATCCTGTTTTCTGGTTGCTTTTTCTTTCTAGCGGTGTTTTCCTGGTGTGTTTCTTTGCTTTGGTGTTGATTTCGGTTAACAAATGTTTGTATGGTTTAAATCCTATTGTGTATTGGCTTGGTTATGGTTTAATGGTTGTTGGTCTGTTCTTCCTGGTTTGGCCTTCTAAGCTGAGACTTTGCAATATTGTTCATTTTTTTTATGTTTGGATTGGTTTTGGTGTCTATGCTTCTGTTTGCTGCAATGGGTGCTGGATTATTTTGTCCCCTTTTTTGAATCTGGTTAGGCATAATTTCAGCATGCAATATACTGAATTTTAAATTATGATTATTTTGTGAGTCTTACTGGCGGCCTGGAAGAGGCATATTGATTCTGGGTCTTACTGTTCTGCCTAGTTCTTAAAGCCCTGGTTGGTTTGTTTTTGCGGTAAAAGGTATTCAGTTGGCTATTACATTAGTAAGTATATTATTTTGGGGATCTTTTGCAAGCCTGGGAGCAATTTTACCTTCTTGGATCTCTTTCCTGTTTTTAAGTTCTTTTGTTTGCTTCAATTTTGTTATAGTATCCTTGCAGGCTTGTTTTTCAGGTTTTTGGAGCTCCGCGCTCGCTTTGTGCAGGGTACGTTTGCTGCTGGTAGGGACGTGCTGAAAGTTGTTTTTTCTTCCCTTCGTTTTTTGATTACTAGAATGTTACTAGATATTAATGTAACTTTTTGTAGTAGGGAACTCCGGCTCTTAGGCTTCTTTTTTATTTTTCCTGTAGCTCTTT